AGTTGGCGCAATTTTTTTATATCACTATTTTTCTAAACAATACGACAGTTGGATACAATTAGTGCATGAACTTGGCGCCATTTTTTTTATCTTTTTTTAAAAAGGTAAGTTTTTGGAGATTTATGAAAAACGTGGACAAAACGACGAAGAGTGTGGTGTTTTTAAAATAAAATAAGTCCGCTTCATAACTCGTGATCTTCACATTCGCTTCGTCTTATATATACATGGACAGAATGGATTTCGCCCCCCCCCCCCCTAAGGGGAACTCCACTTTCGAAAGGTGTGTGAAGTTAGTGTATCATATTGTGGAAAATCATAAATTATTAAGAGTTTTGGCTTTATTTACAATAGTTATTTACAGAGTTATTTAGAGTTCTTGATAATTTAAACAAATAGTTCGTGATTAAAAAATTAAAAAAAAAAATTAAAAAACGAGCTTTTTTGAATATAGAGATGATATGCTGACCGTAATTCGACGGTTCTATTTATTCTAAAACAGTCCTCACATAGTTCTGAGCATATTAATGACTTTTACAAACAGCTTTAGTTACGAAAATAATTAGAAAATTTTTGAAACAATGTTTCTTACCCAAAAAACAAGCATCTCTAAGTATAGAGATGATATGCTGGCCGTATTTCGATAGTTCCGTTTATTATAAAACAGTTCTCATATAGTTCTGAGCATGTCCATTGCCTTTCCAAAGAGAGTGATAAAATTCTAGTGATAAAAATAATTAAACAATTTTTTAAACAAATTTTTTACCAAAAATAAGCATTTTCGATGCTCAGAACTATACGAGGAGACTGTTTTAGAATAAATAGAACTATCGAATTATGGCCAGCATATCACCTCTATCTTCGAAAATAATCATTTTTTGGATAAAAAAATTGTTTTAAAAATTTTCTAATTATTTTCAATCATTAATATGCTCAGAACTCAGAACTCTTTGGAAAAGTCATTAATATACTCAGAACTATGCGAGGACTGTTTTAGAATAAACAGAACTATCGAATTACGGCCAGCATATCATCTCCATACTCGAAAATCGCTCGTTTTTTGGATAAAAAAATTGTTTAAAAAATTGTTTAATTATTTTTATCACTAGAACTCTGTGGAAAGGCAATGGACATGCTCAGAATTATGCCAAAACTGTTTTAAAAAAAATAGAACTACCGAAATACGGCCAGCATATCACCTCTATCTTTGAAGATGTTCGTTTTTTGGGTAAAAAAATTGTTTCAAAAATTTTCTAATTATTTTTAAAATTAGAATTCTTTGGTAAAGTCATTAATATGCTCAGAATTGCGAACACTGTTTTAGAATAAATAGAACTGTTGAATTACGGCCAGCATATCATCTCTATACTCGAAAATACTCGTTTTTTGGATAAAAAAATTATTTAAAAATTGTTTAATTATTTGTATCACTGCAACTCTTCGGAAAGACAATAAACATTCCCAGAACTATGCGAGAATTGTTTTAGAATAAATAGAATTACCGAAATACGGCCAGCATATCAACTGTATACATCTATAGATAAGAGGTTTCTTCATTTTGTTTTATTTAATATTTTTTTAATTCAAAAGGCAGAACTTCTTGGAACTCATGTAGAATTATAAATCTTTTAAATTTGAACAATTATTGATAAAGAAAATATCATAGCCAACTTCACGCAGCATATCACTTTGTCCTCAGGCATTTTCTTTGCTTTTAATCATTAGAACTATTTGTTTAAACTATTAAGTACTTTAAAACTATTGTAAATAAAGGCAGAACTCTTAATTATTTATTATTTTCCACACAAATAATACGCTAACACTATATCTTCTGGAAGTGTAACTCTTCGTAGGGGAACGGAACCTATTGCATTTGCGCATGTACATTTCATCTTGATCTTTACTGAGAATGAACTTTGCTTCATCTTATTAATAAGAAGATGATAAGAAGTGTGAAATACCAAATGGAATGAGTCATAGCTCATTTGAAAGGAGAAGTTATGTGTAATAAAAGTATAAAAGAGGATTTGAGTGCACGGGCTTTCGTTTATGATAAAAGTGCAATTATTTAAACGGCTGTATATTAAATTGAGCATTTTAGTTACAGTAATCATGAATCGCGCGGTGGATAAGTAGGTTAAGGCATGTAAGTTCGAGTTCTCATAATGTCACAACTTTTTTCTTGTAACTATATTTTTAAAATCATATTTTTTTATTAATTTTTGTTATTCTTTGTAGCAATAATATTATGCACACATATACAATAATATTTGTGTATATATATATATATATATATATATATATATATATATATATATATATACTGAGTGTTTCAGACCACCCGTCCCACCCTTTTAAAACGTAGGGATGTACAAAAAAATGGCTCAGACGAAATTTGCATGATTTCGAGGGATCTATCTGATGGTGACCTTGAATTCGACCTTGAGATCGACCTTCAAGGTTATTTGAAGGTCAAAGTGTTTTTTTTTAATGAGAACCCCTATTTTTGATTGTATATTCTTATAGCTGACCCCGAGAGCTTTCCAAAAAAACATATAGTTGTTTTTAAGAAAAAATATGTAATTTGCAATTAACAATTCCATATTTTTTCTTAAAAACAACTGTATGTTTTCTTTACACCAATTGATTCCTCTCATTATTTTGTACATAAAAGTATTAAGGTAAAATAATCGAAAAGTGAATATTTTACAAGATATTTTACGATTTATGTAAAATTAAGAAATTTGAAGCCTCATAACTCGATAAATGTTTGAGGGAAAAATATTTTATTATAGTGTTTTGGAAAGCTCTCGAGGTCAGCTATAAGAATATACAATCAAAAATAGGGGTTCCCATTAAAAAAAAACACTTTGACCTTCAAATAACCTTGAAGGTCGACCTCAAGATCGAATTCAAGGTCACCATCAGATAGATCCCTCGAAATCATGCAAATTTCGTCTGAGCCATTTTTTTGTACAAGCACATCCCTACGTTTTAAAAGGGTGGAACTGGTGGTCTGAAACACCCGGTATACAGGGTGACCCATTTTAACTTAGGCAGCCAAATAACTCGAAAAATAAACACACTACGAAAAAATGGTTAGAATCAAAATTTCGTCATTTCGAGGGGGACGTACAATGACGTTAAAATCAGCTCCCCCACCCCTCCCCCTGGGCGTATAATTAAGTACCTTTTTATTAAGTACTTTTTGAGTACGTATAATTAAGTACCTTTTTATTAAGTACTTTTTGAGTTATAAGGCTTGAAATAATTTCTTAATTTTACATAAACCATAAAATATCTAGTAAACCATTCATTTTTCGATTATCTTACCTTCATACTTTTATGTACAAAATAATGAGAGGAATCAATTGGTGTAAAGAAAACACATAGTTGTTTCTAAGAAAAAATATGTAATTTGCAATTAACAATTCCATATTTTTTCTTAAAAACAACTGTATGTTTTCTTTACACCAATTGATTCCTTTCATTATTTTGTACATAAAAGTATGAAGGTAAGATAATCGAAAAATGAATGGTTTACTAGATATTTTATGGTTTATGTAAAATTAAGAAATTATTTCAACCCTCATAACTCGCAAAGTACTTAATAAAAATGAACATTATTATAGTGTTTTGGAAAGCTCTTGAATTAAGCTATAAGAATATGCAATCAAATGTAGGGGGTGTCATTTAAAAAAGTCAATGTGACCTTGACCTGACCTTGACGACGCCATCCAAGGTCAAACTGATAGAATCAGTATATAGATCTTCTTAAACCCTACAACTTTTGTTGGAAACACTTTTCTGTAAAACGTATATTTTCCGAGATATTTAGGGGTTTCCACACTTTTGGTAGACCCTGTATATATATATATATATATATATATATACACGAATATTATTGTATATGTGTGCATAATATTAGGGTGTCTGGAAATTTTTCGCAGTCTCTAAGTGTGAAGGTAGATTAGCTCAAATTAAGAAGGAAAGTCTTCTACTGTTTTAGGATATAATGATTAACGAAAGATTAATAGAAGGTTGGCCAATGCGTGTGGCTAGAAGTGCGCAGCGGCGAAGATGGTCTTATTGTAATATAATGGCGGCGCGCGGCGAAGTGATAATTGAAGAGGGGAAGAGCCTTCGCGGCGTACTTATACATTCATCGTTTCTGCAATTTTGAATTTTGAAATTTTGATCTTGAATTCGTATTCAGTTATTCAAAAAAATTCTTAAGTATCAATTATTATAAAAATCAGTCCAATTAATAAACCAATGTCCGAAAAATGAACCGAAAAATGAACCAATGATAACACCATATGGCATATCACTAATACTCACAAAGATACATTTTTTGTGCCATATAGCATCAATGCCGCCAAAAGGATTAAAAATACTTGCAAAACATAAAAATTTTAATCTCTCTCTTTCTCTAATCTAAATCTTCAATAATTTAATATTTTAGATATTATAGATCTAAAAATTACATTGTTATTAATATTCTATTCATTCTATTCATATTAATTTCTATTCATAAATGTGGATAAATGAAAAAATTAAATAAATTGGTAAATAATACGGCTCCATGTATTTAACAACATGATAATTAAGAAACGAGCACTAAGAGCCTACAAAACGCGGATGCGTAAATTTTTTCGAACATTAATTGTTCGCGAAAAAATTTTTAAGACATATACATATATGCCAAGTTATATATTCTCTTGGTTTGAGACTGTTGTAGAAGTCTCAAACCAAGAGAATCTATAACTTGGCATATATGTATATGTCTTAAAAATTTTTTCGCGAACAATTAATGTTCGAAAAAATTTACGCATTGCCATCCGCTTTTTGTAGGCTCTTAGTGCTCGTTTCTTAATTATCATGTTGAAAAAAATCTAAATCAGATATTTATATATTCTGAAAATATTCTTAATGTTGATTATAATTTTTCGCGAATAATAATCAATAATTCTAATAACAAATTGCTTATTATATGTTCTTACGGTCGATTCTGTATGATTTTATACATAAGAGGATTTGTGATTGTAGGGTCATCTAATTCATTGTGACCCCATTTTCTAAAACAATTTAGATCGATAAAAACATCCTTCCTAAACTGTCTTTGATATTTAAAGGCTATTCTTATAGTCCGTACCACCATCTACAAAACATTATGATTATCGATTAATAACAATATTAACGAATGGAGAAATTTTGCCATAAAAATATACCTCAGGATTATCGCCATTTACATGAATTACAGGCGCAGATATACTTTTTGCTAAATCCGTGCAATATCTCGATGATCGACTTCTTGAAGATGGAGTTGTGAAACCTAACTGATTATTAATTATCAAATGAATTGTACCACCAATTTCAAAATGTGGTGCTTTACTCAACGTTAAGCATTCTTGATTAACTCCTTGTCCTGGATAAGCAGCATCACCATGTATCTAATAAAACATTTGATAAATGTTTACTTTAGGTTAAACAGCTCGGAAAATTTTTATTTTCACATATGTTGTAGAGGATACATTTCTAAGTAATACACCGTTTGAATTTTGCAGCGGTCTCTCTTCATTCCTGAGATATGCGATTTTTAAATTTTATACTTGTATCATCTTTTCATTACATTCTAAATATGTTTATATTTTTCTGTTTACATTTACCGAAGTCATTTTTCTGAATAATTTTCAAAAGGTTTTAGTCGCTTATTTTTTATTAAATAGTTATTAACAAAAAAGTTTTATGAATAGAATATAATTTTACCACATCATGTATGTTTAAGAAAAAATATATTTAATAAAATATATGTATTTGTAAATTTTGTTTTATAGTACCTTGCAAAGTACATGTGTGGACATCGTGTGTTCCATCCCTACTATGGAGGGGGCTCCACTTTCAGAAGATATAAGGTTTGTTCTCTCCAGTTGAACTTTCTGTACTAATTCATAAAGTGTACACTGAGGCGTTCTTTTTAGCAGAAGTGACGTCAAAGATGACTGTTTTTTTCAATAATGCAACAGAACTGAGTACAGCAGTTCACTGAACTGCTTGTCTCAGGTCTTGAGTTAGTGCAGCAGTACAGTACAATATGGCAGCTTAAGTAAAACGAGAATATATATATATATATGTATATACACGGTGGGCCATTTTAATTGATGCACTCGAATATCTCGAAAACAGCACTCTTCAGAAAGAAATGTTTCAAACAAAAATTGTAGGGTGTGAAGGGGGACATAAGATGGTAGCATTGGTTTGACCTTGGAAAGTCATTTGAAGGTCACATAAAAGTCACCTTCAATTTCTTAAATTGAACCCACTATTTTTCATTACATATTCTTGTAGCTTATATCGAGAGCTTTCCAAAACACTACAGACAAATGTTTTTTCATTAAATACTTTTTGAGTTATAAGGCTTCAAAGTTTGCAGTACTTCGATATAAAATGCAAAATATCTCGTAAAATATTTAGTTTTCGGTAGTCTTACCCTAATACTTTTATGCACAGGATAATGAGACAAAACTATTGGTGCAAAGAAAACGCATGATTGTTTATAACAAAAAGTGCATTGCAAATTACATTTTTTATTATAAACAATCATACGTTTTCTTTGCACCAATAGTTTTGTCTCATTATCCTGTGCATAAAAGTATTAGGGTAAGACTACCGAAAACTAAATATTTTACGAGATATTTTGCATTTTATATCGAAGTACTGCAAACTTTGAAGCCTTATAACTCAAAAAGTACTTAATGAAAAAACATTTGTCTGTAGTGTTTTGGAAAGCTCTCGAGATAAGCTACAAGAATATGCATTGAAAAATGGGGGTTTCCATTTAAGAAATTAAAGGTGACCTTCACGTGATCTTCAAACGACTATCCAAGGTCAAACCAATGACACCATCTTATGTCCCCCTTCACACCCTACAATTTTTGTTTGAAACATTTCTTTCTGAAGAATGCTGTTTTCGAGATATTCGAGTGCATCGATTAAAATGGCCCACCGTGTATATATATATATATATATATATATATATATATATATATAATGTATATACATGTATATATATATATATATATATATCTTGTATATACATATATATATATATATATACATACTTGTATATACATTATATATATATATATATATATATATATATATATATATATATACAGGGTCTACCAAAAGTGTGGAAACCCCTAAATATCTCGGAAAATATACGTTTTACAGAAAAGTGTTTCCAACAAAAGTTGTAGGGTTTAAGAAGATCTATATACTGATTCTATCAGTTTGACCTTGGATGGCGTCGTCAAGGTCAGGTCAAGGTCACATTGACTTTTTTAAATGACACCCCCTACATTTGATTGCATATTCTTATAGCTTAATTCAAGAGCTTTCCAAAACACTATAATAATGTTCATTTTTATTAAGTACTTTGCGAGTTATGAGGGTTGAATGATAGAGTAGCGCCGGTATTAACATTATCCAAGGTGTACTACATGGAGGTTACTCGCTCGGATTTGCATCTGTTGTGTGTGTGATCCAGCTAACTAAGGCAAGATCGATTCCTCAACATATCCTCATATTTCGCTGAAGTCAAATTGCCAAAAAATTGCTCCATAAAACGTGTATGAAACGTCTCGTTAGTTCCTTCATTTACCGCTATGTGACGCACTACATGCAGTCTAACTCGCATTTAAAATTCAACTAAGAATGTATAAAGCTATCAAAGAACGAGCACCTTCTAACTTCAGCTTTGAGCAAGCAGAAATTAATTGTTATCGTCCAAATACAACGTACGATTAATTAAAATTAAACGTTTTAAAAATGGCTGGCGACTTGTCGGAACGTGAAAGAATCACTATCCTCATGATGCGTGGATGGGGTGATAACGAAAGATCGTTCTCTGATGTCGTTCGATTATTTAATGACACGTATCCGAACCGTCGAATTAATAAGTCCACTGTGTTAAAAACAATAGAACGTTTTAGACAAACTGGTAGCGTAAGAAATCGCTCTAAGTCAGGAAGACCATTGTCTGCAACCAACGAAGAAAAACAACTTGATGTTCTGCAGACATTTATTGAAGATCCCAATTCTAGTGTTCAGAAAGTCGCTCAAACTCACGATATTGCTCCCATGTCGGTTTGGAGAATTTTAAAGAAGAACAAGTTCCATCCATATAAATTGCAATACGTTCAAGAATTGCAAAACGGAGATGAGGAGCGTCGTATACATTTCTGTGAAAGAATGATGGCACTAATAGATGTCCGGCCCATCTTCCCTTATCAAATTGTTTTCACAGACGAGGCAACTTTTACCTTAACGGGAGAAGTTAATAATCAAAATTTTCGTTTCTGGTCAGATGAGAATCCGAATTGGGTGCGGGAAACTCACACACAACATCCACAAAAAATAAATGTATGGTGCGGAATAATAGATGGCTATTTAATAGGGCCGTTTTTTTTTGAAGAATATTTGAACGCTCAAAGGTATGAGAGATTACTTGTTGATCAAATAATTCCAGCCATACAGAATACTTTTCCAAATAATTTCCAAGAAATATGGTTTCAGCATGATGGAGCTCCTGCTCATTTTGGTGCAGGACCACGTCGTATTTTAAATGAGACTTTTCCGCTACGGTGGATAGGAAGAAGGAACGGAAATGAGGGAGGAGAGGATTGGCCACCTCGGTCACCAGATCTAACTCCTCTTGATTATTATCTATGGGGATATCTGAAGAGTAAGGTTTACAGAACAAAACCTAAAACCATTCACGAATTGATACAGCGAATAAGGGATGAAATGGCTTTGATACCTTTTGAAACGAATCGTAAAGTCATTTCTACATTCTACCAAAGATTAGCATATTGTCAGGAAGTAAATGGCAGCCACTTTCAGCATTTACTTTAACACATTGAAACACATTTGCAATCGTTTGGTGCAACCTAACCTGATCTCTGTATACACGCACCGCACGCACGCACACATTTCGAACAATTATTATGATAAATGAGCATCCACAAATTTATTTACTGTTTACTATGTCGATTGCTTTCCAGGTCTTTAAATGCTCGATTGTAATTTGGTTGGGTCTTTGCTTTTGCTGACTGGATCCACGACCGATCTTGCCTTAGTTAGCTGGATCACACACACAACAGATGCAAATCCGAGCGAGTAACCTCCATGTAGTACACCTTGGATAATGTTAATACCGGCGCTACTCTATCATTCAACCCTCATAACTCGCAAAGTACTTAATAAAAATGAACATTATTATAGTGTTTTGGAAAGCTCTTGAATTAAGCTATAAGAATATGCAATCAAATGTAGGGGGTGTCATTTAAAAAAGTCAATGTGACCTTGACCTGACCTTGACGACGCCATCCAAGGTCAAACTGATAGAATCAGTATATAGATCTTCTTAAACCCTACAACTTTTGTTGGAAACACTTTTCTGTAAAACGTATATTTTCCGAGATATTTAGGGGTTTCCACACTTTTGGTAGACCCTGTATATATATATATAATTATATATATATATATATATAATGTATATACAAGTATGTATATATATATATATATATATATATATATGTATATACAAGTATATGTAAAAATACTGATCAATATTTTTATATGCGCAAAAATAATAGTAAAAGATGAATATAGAGTGAAAAATCTTAAGTATTAACATAACTTAAAAAAATAAATATAAAGATAATATAATTTTTAATTTTAGGTTAAATTATACTGTTATTTTCGTTTTACCTAAGTTGCCATATTGAACTGTACCACTGCACTAACTCAAGACCTGGGACAGGCAGTGAATTATATATATATATATATATATATATATATATATATATATATATATATATGTAGGATATTTTACGAGAACATATGCTGACCAACCCGTTCACGTATTATCCGCATACGGTCGCACCGCACTAAAACCCGAAGCGTCTCGCGCTGCGTTATGTTTTCCGCGTGTGTACCTTTTCGGACGCCCCGCACGGTTCTTAGAACATCTTGCGTTTCATTCAGATATTTTATATCTTTTAACAACTGACTATACCTGACGGAAGGGCGAGTGTGAATTGCAGCGATGCAGTTCAGGCAAAGACAGTTCCTAACGATCGTTTGAAGAGTCGAGACGTGCTTTCACTGTACTCTAACTTGGTAATTACATTCCGTATCGTATACCGATTTCAATAAACTATACTTGTAAATAACATCCTACATATATATATATATATATATATATGTAGGATATATATATATATATATATATATATATATATACAACGTGGGGCATTTATCTTGAGACAAGATAATATCTCGATTGGAGTCGATTATTTTGAAAAAAGTTTTAGACAAAAGTTGTATTCAAGGGGTTTCAAGGGGAACATAAAATGGTGTCATTAGTTTGATCTTGAAGAGCCACCTG